CGTTGCCGAGCAGCGCGGCGGACGGCGTACTGGGTAACTAATAATGGATCCAAAACTGGGACCTCCCCAGGTACCCCAGTGTCCCCACCGTATCTCTCTACACCGTGCTGTGGATGCTGGGGAGCAGGTAGCTCACACGAAACGGACCGATAAACAGCGCGATCTCGTCTATAGGCTTCGCGATTTTCTAATCGCACGCGAAGCCTAATAATGCGGGGGCGGCGGCGCACGTCACGGCTCGGATACCAGGTGGCGGCGGTAGCGGCTCGGCTCAACCTGGCAGCCAAACAATTGAAGAAAACTAAGTTACGATTGTAATGTAACATATTTCCAATTCCAAGACTTGACTCTGCCTGGCCGGCCTGAGCGGCCGGGACCGGAAACTCGGGGTCCTCCTCTAGGCCACCCCCTCCCCCTCCCCGTCCAGTCTTGGGTCAATGAACCGTACAAAAAACGAAAGGGAAATTTTACTTTCGAACCTCCTTGCCCTTGCCCCTCCCACGACACCGAAAGGAACGAAAGAAATTTCGCTGTAGCGTGCTCCGCCCCACCGACCACCGGAGCCTTCCGCCCTCCGTCTGCTGATATCAGCTAAGCCATCCCGTTGCACTCCCCCAGTAATTTTGCACAAACAACTCCGTTGTGAGTTGCAGGGTGGTTTTGATTTTAAAAACTCTTTTACAAAATAATGAACTTCCGAGGAAAAGTCTTGATCACTTTGAGCTAATGTCTCAAAACAATTGTCAATAGAATTTTGTCCAAATTTTTCAGCTGCGTTAAAAAAATCCAAAATGATTTTATCGTTATTATTAAATTTCGGCAAACCCTGAGACAGGAGTAAAGTTTTCAGAATCGGGTTTAAATTTGGAAAGTATGCATTTATTAAAGCGTTGGACAGGAATTATGTTTTCGAAAGGGAAACCAACCACAACAGAGTGTTTGTGAAAACTAACAGCAGATTTACGCCTCTGCAAAACAAAAGAAAAAATAAAATAAAATTAAATTTCGGTCTTTTCTGTACTCTCTATTTCATACAACGGGAACCCGCGCGTATGAATGGTGCACACGTGAGAGTGGGTGAAATCCAATGCACAAGTACAGCCTTGAATATTCCTTTGAATGTCGCACACCTTTACGAGGTACAAGTTTACGTGGAAATTCACACGCCTACCCGTGTGCGACTTGCGACGCGACATACTTTGTTAAATCAATCGCTGAATGGTTTGGCCATGCTATCACCCGAGTCAGAGGTCCTCCTCTAAGCCGACCCCTCCCCCTCCCCCTCCCCTCCGTTCAGTCCTGGTCAATATGAGCAGTAACGAAACCGAGAGGGAAATTTTACTTTCAAACCTCCTCGCCCCCGCTCCTCCCACAAGTCCGAAAGGAACGAAACTTTCGCATGCTTCGCCTCCTCGACCAATTGAGGCTCCCCCCCCCCCCACACACACACGCACATACACACTGTAAGAAATTGTCGTACCGGGCACGGGACCATGGAAGGTGTCGTATACATTTACAATTCAAAATTGTACATTCACAAGCATTGCGTATGCGTATCGATTTCAAATCCATCGACGAACAATGAAAAGTAATAAGACGTTCGGTCGCCATGGTCATGCCAATGCTTGTCCGCTAGCTAAGCAGTAAAAGAATCAAAATCCGACTTGCGTTAAGTTGGTGGGGGGGGGGGGGGGCGGCAGAGTCCAACTGGCGACAGCGACACAGCACAACCTGTCAAACAAAAATTACAGAACACTTAGAGAAAATATAAAGGAATTTTAACCTCGGCACGACGCTTCGTTCCCAGAACGAACGCGCTCCAAGGTGGCATGGGCTGGGCAATCCCATGGCGTGAGGGGACCCTTCTCCTAAGTGTTTGCCTACCTTCAAAAAATCCGTCAAGTCCACATTTTCAATGTGGCTTAAAAGGGCTTCGCGTGCTTGGTGTGGGCTATGGGCCGACGAAACGCAGGCACAAGGACCTCTATCTAGTAGATGTTCAAATTATGCATCAAAACAGTCTGCAGTCGTCAATTGACTTGACTAATGACTTACCGCGAGGCCACTGTTGGATATGTGAAAAGGGCTTTTAAGTAACAAAATTGCGCAAAATTGACAGAACCTTGTCTCTTGCTTCAAAGGAAACGTCGCTGACTCGATTGACTATTGACTTAAATAAATATTATTAAGCATACTTGTTTTCGCGCTTCAACAAAGATCTTTTACAAGCCATTAC